CTGGGTATGAGTTCGTATATATATAGATATATATACATATATATGCAAACGCGACCCTCCTCTCATCTCTTGGAGGGTCATCGTATTCCGTCAAAGTACTTGCAAACATAAAGTGTTCACTACCCTGGAGCCAAAGCCTCATTCAGATTAACTAGAGCTATCACCTCCCCTGATAAAGAACCACGATACATTTCCCCAGCTCCCTAATAAAGAAGATTCTCCCTAATATTCAATGAGACTACTTTGGGGTAGGTTTACGACAGGGGGCGGGGGGGTCACTATTTAAGGGGGCGAGTGCATAAGCTTTAGGGAGCGTTGGTTGGCCTAAACCCTCTACCCTGAACACTTAACCAAACCCCTAAACCTAAACCTAAATCCTAAACCCTAAGCCCTAGACCCTAAGCCCTAAACCAAACCCCTAAATGTCTCTAAGGGCTCGAAGCCTGAGATTGAGGGCTTTTTTGTGGCCGGTTCAGGGTTTAATCAGGGCGGCTTGGGGTTATGTAGGGGTTTTGGGTTTCGTCATGGAGAAAATGGATTATTTGGGCGTTATACAGGGATTCTAGGAGGACACTACGGCCGGTATAGGGGTGAACGAGTACTTCAGGGCAACGATTCCCATATGAGCTATAGTCTAAACTCCTTAAAGGGGGTTATGTAGGGGATTATACAGGGGACTAGTTTAGGGGTTATTAAGGGGTATACCAGGAGTTTAGACTACAGCTTATATTAGATGGGTTTGGGATTTAGGATTTGCGCTTCAGGGGGTGCCTGACGCTTAGGATTGTTTGATTTCGTCATTGGGTACAGGTTTCTGCAGAGCACTTGGGGTTTTAGCCGAGTTTCAGTTCATGAAAAGGCAAGGAGGAGCAGACTATCATATATTTCAAGTTTGTAGGCCTAAGGTTTATACCCTTGGGTTCTGAGCCATCCAATTGTTTGCTTACATTCCAGCCTTTGGGCCATGGGAGCAAACCCAGAGAATACAAAGGCAGACCCCTCAATGCCAGGAATGTCACGGGCGGAATGATACCCTCCCGGAAAGTAACATGGACACCCAAAAAGGGCCCTATAGAGACTACAGTCCTTCTAAAAGGGTGCTATATGGGTTTCCATGTTAGTTTGGGGGAGTGTACCCAGTATGGGCAATTCTGATCCCCAGGGTGAACCCTAGCTGCAGTTTAGGGTTTAGGGTTTAGGGTTTAGGGGGGCTTCGGCCTGCTTCATGTTCTGATCCCTAGGGTAAACTCTAGCTACATCTAGGGGCCTCGGCGTGTTTCATGGGGTAGCTTTGAGGTTTCTTCGGGACTGTTTTGGGATCAAAGATAGTATTTACAATATCGGAGAGCCAAGTGGGCAATCAAATGGATTCTGAAATGGAAGCTACCAAATGAGACTGGAGGGTTATAAGTTACAGGGGATAATCTTGGTAGATGACTTACAGGTTTAGTCCTGCCTTTTCCTTGCTCATAGGGTTTTGGGCTTATGTTTGAGGTCACTTTTGTTTCCTTGTTTTTCTCCGTCGCGGGGGTTCTCGATTCGTGTCCCTCTCTCATTTGCAGGTAGGTTTTCTGGGCATCCTGACATAAGCAGGTGCATTCAGCATGAAGCTTCACTTGCAATAATTTCCGCAGTTGCGCATTACGACATTCGCATATTGGGGATTCTGGTCAGTGTCTAGGGGGTCCACATCAGAATTGGATGCCTCATGAAAGCACCCCAGCCCTTGCAGAGGCAGCTTACTAGCAGAACATGCCCGACATATGAAACCCCTCACACTCCCACACTAACATGTAGATTAATAAAAACCCACAGAATAGCTTGTAAGACCCTGGAAAGACTGCTGGCTTTGACAAGGGATCATATGTGGTTCCATGACAGATTAGAGGAGGAGATGTAGGAGTCCCCGTACCATCCCCCTATAATCCATTTTAATCTCCATATAACCCCTTCAAACCCCCCTAAAACAATCAAAATTAAATTCCTTATAATCGCTATCAGCCTATAAAGCCCTTCACCCAAACCCTAGACTTCAACCTTAAACCTTGAACCTAAACCTTGAACCTAAACCTTGAGCCTAAACCCTAAAAGCTGGAGCTTAGGCCAGCGTTACAGATGAAACCTTGTCTCCAGCTCAAACAGTTGCGATGTTTCACCTGCTGCATCGAAGCTGCACGTGATTTGGAAGTTTTTCTAAAGGGCCTGCATGGGGTTATCACGGGTTATCTGAGTCATGGAGATCTACAGGATAGATAGGTTTAAAAGGTTTTTGGGTAAGGCCCGCAGAGCCCAACACCCCTTTGACAAGGACAAATCCATAGCTCATATTTAGGATAGGGCCTTAATGTAAATACAGGTACATTGCATACCTAAGCTGTAATTGTCTCCATGGGCAAGTTGGTGTTTTTTTGGCGACATTTGCATTTACTTTTAGAACATTGAAGGCATACAGCCATGTGTGACAGCAGGTTCAAAACGGCATCCCATGTATTGGGGACCCTGCAGAAGGATAGTTTCTGACAGGCGTAACGCAGGTTATGGTGCGAGGCTCATCTTGTTCAAAGCAACGGGGGGTTTGCTACAATTTATCGTATCAAGCCCCCAGAAAGGAGCCCCAAAAGACCGCCCATAATTTCCTTTTTCATCCTAACAGATCCTAGGAACCCTAAACCCTTCAACCCAATCAAACCAATAAACCCCCAAACCCAATCAAATCCAATCAATTCCAATCAAACCAATAAACCTTAAACCCCCAAACCCAATCAAACCCATAAGCCCTAAACCCCCAAACCCAATAAGGAGGGGCAGCCTCAGAAGATGCTGGCTTGCTTCATGAGACCGACGCTGGCCTGAAAGCTTGCAAGTCCTCAGGGGTCCGCGTACATAGGGTTTAGGGTTTAGGTGGTTTGGGGTTAAGGATTTAGGGCTTAGGGTTTAGGTGCTTTGGGGTTTAGGGTTTAGGGTTTGGGTGGTTTGGGGTTTAGGGTTTAGGGTTCAGGGGTTTAGGGGTTTAGGGTTTAGGGTTTTAGGTTGGGTACTGCCCACCCACACCCCAGTAACAGTCTATATTAGAGGTCTTATTAAGGGCTATATATCACCACATGAAAATTATTATCCAACTGTTACTGAGGGGGGGCAGCACCCGAGGTTTGGGCCCAGCCTGGACCCCAACAGTATTTAAAATGATGGCCTTTATGGCTGTTATTGTGGGTTTAGGGCTATGATTTTACATACGTCTTTGGGGTTTAGGAGCATGGTTTAGGGGCTTGGGGCCTGAGGGTTTTAGGGTTTAGGGGCTTGCGGCTTCGTTCTTTTGAGTTTGGGAGCTAGGGCTAGTCCCGAAATCAGCAAAGTTTGGGAAAGCAATGGCATCAATTCTTGGACCGGTCGTGTTGAAGTCAGCTTGTCGCAGGGCTGCGGCGCCCTAAACAATCTGGGTTGCTGTTAAGGAACTTAAGTTAAGTTACCATATTTTGGGGAAACCTTGTTATTTGCTATATATACCCATTATGGTAACTTAATTTAAGTTCCTTATCAGCAACCCAGCAATAAGCTCTGGGAAACTCTTCTGGGGCCGGGGAAGACGTGACGATGCTACTGCCATGTTTTTGCAAAGAAAGAAGACCAATGGATTGTGGGGCCGCAACATGCGGAGTACAATAAAGATCCTTAAGGAAATGCCCAAGAGTCCGATCCAAGACTAAGATCACATTCTATTTCGCCGATACCGCCTACATAGGCGCCATTATCGTTTCTAAGGGCCTCCCCACAACCGGAAAGTCCATTCTCCGGATTCCTCCCTACGATGAGGACGGGGTTTAGGGTTCAGGTCCAGGTGTTCACGGACCGCTTTAGAATGCATAGCAGTTCAGGAATAGCAGTCCTTGCAATGGTAATGGCTATAGCAATGGGGATTTATGTAAACGCTGGCTTAGGGTGTCAGCTTCCGCTTTTGAAACAAGATCTCTCGGAGGGTATTACTAAGGGGTACTACTGAAAAAAAACAGGGTTCTCATCGATCATAATCCCTAAGCTTCTGCAACCCCCAAGCAGAACCTGAATTAAACAGAACCCTACATTTGCAAAGAAACAGGGGGTTCCATGTCTGTTTCAAGGTTTAGGGTTTAGCGTGGCGGAGGGAGCTTCTAGGACACGGTCTTTTCAGCTGTAGTCTAAAGGGGGATTATATAGGGGATGATATAGGGTTTAGGGTTTAGGGTCTAAACTCCTTAAAAAGGATCACATAGGGGATTATAAAGGGGACTACTATAGGGGTTATTAAGGCAGCATTTGTCATCGACAGTGGTTCAAGGTCATTCGCGTGGAAGACACTGGAGAACAGCGTTTGCTTCTCACCTGCCACTTCCCCTTGACGCTGCTTTGCTTGACAGCACTTTTGATTGTATCAACCCTATACACCACCAAAAAAGAGTATGTTTCCGCTCACCTTCTCCATTTGTTACTCCGCCTAGCCCCAAACCCTAAACTCGAAACAGCGCTTCTGATTGTAATATGAGCTGTAGTCTAAACTCCTTAAAAGGAGTTATATGGGGGATAATATAGGGGACTACTATAGGGGTTACTAAGGGGGATACTAGGAGTTTAGACAATGGCTCATATGAATAATATGTTTAGTTTTTGGAGCTTGAGATGCAGCTTGGCTGTTTGTGGCTGGTTCCGGGGTTTAGGGTTTTAGGGTTTAGGATTTTAGGGTCTAAGATTTTAAGGTTTAGGGTTTTGGCTGAGCCTGAAGCATAGACCTTAGTTTAGCCACACACGTTTCTTAAGTTGCTGAACCCATTTCAAGATACACATGGCAGATTCTCTCTCATTGTTGAGTATGGAAGGGGCCCTAAACCCTAAATCCTAAACCCCTAGCCTCAAGCCCTACACCCTCAACTCGACCTTAAACCCAAAGTAAACCAGGAGATGATTACATGTGATGCCCCAAACCCTCCACACAAACTCTAGAATCGAAATTCCTAAACCCCAAAGCCCAGGTTTCTACCACGGGATGAAGAGACCTCAAAGGCGCTCGCATCCTTCAAGCAGGAACCTTTGAAGCTTTAGCGATTCAGGTTTAGGGCTTACTACAGATATTCATAGCAACTGTTACAGTTGCATCATAAGCAATAGTAAGAGCACTCGACTAACAATTTGTCTTCAGGTTCAGGGGGTTGGTGTAGCATTGAGGATGGGTTGCTGTCAGCTTCATGAGGATCTGTTTAAGGGTTCGATGCAGTATGAGCAAGTTTCATGAGAGTTTCTACAAGTAATCCCTTAACCCTAAACCCTACACACTAAATCTTAAACTGTCTTCGAAGATCAGGCAGATTCCAAAAGCTCCTCAGGTTCGCTCCATAGAGCCCCACATGTTCAGAGTAGTGTTATCTAGGCATCTCGGACCCCTCCCGAACAAGAATGCTAAACCTTAAACCCTATGGACGTGATGAACATCTTCCCTGGACTGGACTTGTTGAACCAGGTAAAACTCCCTCCTGGAACGCTAACTCCCCCCCATCCCCACATGGTTGAGGCGCAGGGTTGAGCGTTCCATCCGTTCGATGATAATAGTATATTGAGAATGTCTTTCTTTAGTGCGGTGGGGCAGTTTAGTGGTAGGGCGAGGGCATGACAAGAATGGGGTAGATGGGGTGTTGCATCAATGTACCCAGCAGGTTCTCGTAGCACAGCATTCGAGTTTAAGGTAACAAAAAATTCTCAGAGGACAGCATCCGTAACTTAGGGCCCTCAATATTCTTGAAGTTTCCGGTACCAAAACATCACTAAGAGTCCAGTATTTGGGACCTGATACGTACCGATAATCCTTTCAGGGTTATCCGGCTAGAGTATGGCTACGGCTCTTCTTGATTTATCCACTGATCAGCAATAGCTGAATGCCCCTAGATGCATAGGCCGTGTTGCGCATGTGAGGGCTTCCGAGAAAATGGGGGGCCCTTCTGGGAGTCGGATAAGAGGGTTTAAGACAATGAGAGGTTTAGTATAGTAAGGTATTATGACCTTCTACTCATGGACCCCCCCCCCCACCCCGACCCACCCCGCCCATGTAAGGCCAGATTGTTGACAGTACAATTCCTGCATGAGCTCTTATACTGCTGTACCATAGTTCCCAAGCTATTTAGGGTAACCCTAAACCCTAAAACCTAAACCCTAAACCGTCATGCACAACTTTTTGTATTGACGTTAGCATAGGTAGCAGACTGCCCTGCTCAAGGTGCACAAGTTTGGCCGCCCGCTGGCTCTAGAAATTGTCATGTGAGCCGTAATCTAAACTCCTTGAAGCGGGATTATTTAAGGGGTTCTATAGGGGTTATTAAGGGGGGATACTAGGATTTTAGACTATAGCTCATGTGGGGACACTTCGTCTCGTTCTCTTAATGCAGCTTTCGTGCTGTAGGACGTCTCCCGCGTTGATTCTAAGGACCTTAAGTCAAGGTCCCACATCCGTATACGAAAACCATATAGTTCGCTGAATGTATACCCTGAACCCTACACCCTGAAGCCTAAACCTATGGTAACCGAAATTACGTTCCTTCAACAGGAACGCAACCTCCAGAACGCCGCTGCAAACGAGCCTTTTTACTAAGCATCAACCAGAATCCACACCCCCTCATCTGAGTTGCTGTTGAGGAACTTTTTTTTAAGATGCTATATTGGAGAAACTATATTAAGTATTATATATCTATACACACCCATTATGATAGCTTAACTTGAGTTCCTGAACAGCAAAGCCAGTCACTAGTCAGAAGTGGGAGATCTCAAAGTTTCAAGGAGCTGAACTACTTGCAGGGTCAGGGGGCTTAGTAAGTATACTTCTAACCTTTGTAAGCCAGAAGATAACCCCAGTTATCCCCATTACTAACTTACTTACTAGGTCCTCATGACGTGCCTTGCAGGCCATGAAGTTGAAAAAGCTGTGTTGCATGTCTAGATCAAGTGGCTTCGCTTGGGTCATGCTGATGTGGGAATTTTGCAGATAGGGGCCTTTAGGGACATTAGGGAGATGTAGGGATCATATTGGGATTCTAGGGGATTCGTATTCGGGATGATATAGGGTTCTTTTGGAGAAGATCCCATAGCATCCCAGACCGAAGCTGCTCATGGGTCGAGGACTTCTATCGCGTGAACACCACGGACAAGTACTGTGACAAGTCCGAGAAACAGACCTTGCATTTTGGCTACTGAACAGGCAGTGTCGAGAATCGGCACCCTAAACCCCAAACCTGGGTGGTTCCCCCACAGAAGCCTTACACAAAGCTTGTCTGAGGGTGCCCACCTGGTAACTCCCCGCCTGAAAGCTCGCGTAATGACAAGCCCTTCAAAAGTGTCAACTGCCGTGTTGCATCACCCTGAGATTGCTTTGTGTTGTCATTATGCTTAGGAGCGAAGACGTGCATCTTACGGGTTACCTAACCACCGCCCTCTATGCTACACCCCACCCTCTCTCTGGTGTCCCCTTCAGTTGGCTTACTCAGGGCTGATTAAGGTTAATTGTCGGGGGGATTTTAGGGGGTAGCATGGGGGGGGGGCTAGGAGAAGCCATGGCTTTAAGTTTGGAGCAGAATTTAGGGGTTTGAAGGCTCCCAGAATTAACCGATGAATAGTTTCCACGCTGGAGCGCCCCATACGCAATTTAAGGGTTTAGGGTTTAGGGTTTGCCTGAACTTGAGTATTGCTGAACTACCAGCAAAGAAGATCACTTTCAACCGATAGGTTGCCCTGGTGCATGCTGTATATTCTGTTTTGAAAGAACAGCCCAATTTTGAGATTGAGGGTCTAGGATTTAGGATTGAGGGCTTATGTCTCAGGAGCTTTTGGGAGTTTTATGGCTTCAGGTATGCAAAAAAGCCCTGAACTGAGGGATTGTGTTCACCAAGATCGAGCCATGGTGGTGCTCAGCTTCTCCGACTGCCTTTTATGGTGGGGTTTTGGGGTATTAGTGCGTTTTAGGGTTTATAGGGCCTGGGATTCGGGATGGAATTTGGGGCTCTAACAGCTAAACAGCTGGTTCCATTTATCTATTATGTTTGGGGTTTCTTGTTCGTGCTATAGTAAGAAGGGTATTTTGTGCAGGGAGCAACTGGGTAGATCTTTACAAGATTCACTAAGCTAAACCCTTATGTAGACCCATGATGAATTAGCCCCCTCATTTTAAGGGCTTTAATATATTAGGATCCCTATTATAATCCTGATTAAGGGGAAGGGGTTCATTAATCAGGGGTCTGGGTTGAGCTCTAAAGGGTTCTGGTAGCAGGGCTTCAGGCCTTCAAACTCAAGTCGAGGAGCGCAGTCGCTGTGCTAAGAAACTTACACCTTTCGAGGTCTAAGGTTAAAAGTATGACCCCCTAATATAGGCCCTTAGGCCTGTTAGGAGGGTTCTAACCTGGGGACCTTAAGGGGTGAATCTATGGCATAGAGTAGGTGTATAAGTATCCCAGGGTTAAGGGTACATACTGGGGGCCCATGGTTTCAACCTCAGACGAGGATGGTCACTCTTGCACACAACTTGCCCGGCATCGTAGGCGGTTGGGCAGCCCCATGTAGGCAGTCGCTAGCCTTTTATTGCGATTGTTGCAGCGAAATAGGTATGGTTTTTATGTTTCTCAGCATTGCTATCATGAGGGTTGTTTGCATGCTATCGTTTATGTTTACTTTTGACATCGTTGCCACGAAAACTATAGTAGTTTGCATGTCCTTTCCAATTCCCCAAAAACCTACTACCTCGAAACCCTGGTAGCTTCCAGTTCCTTCACTCCTATATTACAACCAGCAAAGGACAGCGCAGCCAAAGTGCAATGCTAGTTAGACGTCCTGGCCAGTCACGGTTTAGCGCCCAGGGTTTGCAGGCTTAAGGGTTGATAGTGCTTTAGGGATTAAGGTTCCCTAGGCCCTACATTCTAAACCCTACGCCCTCATCATTCCCTAAACTTTACACCCTCAAATCCTAGGTTCCAGGCACAAATATCACCTCCAAACCATCGCCTGGCCTGGGACTCAAGTCATTGAATTGGTCAAACAAAATGCCGCAGAAATGAGCTGAAACCGCAGAGGTTATAGGCTGTAGGGTATAGGATCTGTCCAAAACCCTAAACCCTAAGCTTCTCAGGGCCAAAGGTTTATGTGATAGTGTGCCACGCCAAGCCCGGACAGAACTGAGCTTTGCTTATATGCCAATGTCCTCGCATAACCTCTACCGTGTAAACCCACACGGCGTCTCGCGCTGGGGTTTAGGGTTTAGGGTTTAGGGTTTACACCCTAGATACCCACTATCAGGGAGCATATATCCCTATTTCAAGGTACAAGTAGGGTCCTGGCGTATGGAGTTCCTTTTTGTGTTTGTTGCACGTGGGCTTAGGGTTCATGGCAAATCAAATTGAACATCAAATTGAAACAACTTGAGAGTTTGGTCTGGTGGTTTAGGGTTAACGGTAAGGGATCATACTGTACTCTCCAAACAGATATTACAGAGGAGGACTTAGAAGCTTACCTTGTATGGTTCAAAGTGGATTCTGCTTGCCTTTTTGGGGTAAGTTTTGTAGTTGCCCTACATAATCCCACTTATGGTTACTCGAACACCCAAACCCTCCCAAACCCAGCCCGACCCACACGGTTTGGCGTTGCAGATTTAGTAATAAACCCCAAATCTTGGCACTACGTGCAGAAGCTTACGCACTCCAAGACCGTGTTTGGCGGTGAACCTTACAAGTGCTAAATCCAGAAAGTCCCTCAAAGCCTCCCCAAGTATGTCTTCAGCCCAAGATACCTAAATATCACCATCAACACCTGTAGGCCCAGGTAAAAAAAAAATCAAATGAGTACGTATCTATATATATATATATGTATATATTATACATATGTATATACAGGAATTTGGGGTGCCGGGTTTAGGGGCTAAGCGCGCACGAAAGGCACCTAGGTGCTTTGAACTCACGATGAGGCTCCGCCGGGCAAGGCGTCACGGAACGGCCTTGGTGTCTCTGGGTGCAATGAGCTGGCTAGACTAAAACAGGAGTTGCTCGAAAGGGTTTATAGGGTTTAAGGTATCCCTGTACAGTCCTGAATACCGTGGGTTGCCCTACTCTCCCCCCAAGTTCCCACCTTAATTTGCGTTGCCAGACTAGAGGTAGGAGTGCTTAAGGCTGAGTAGGGGATCAGGAGGACTTAGCCAGTAGAGCGGGGTTTTACATAGCCGGGTAGGTACACGTTACGCGGCTTTGGCAGCAATATTCCTCGAACAGCAGCAATGAAGGTTCGTTTTCCCTTCGTATGGCTAGGGTCCCTAAAGCCGAGCGTTTTTGAGACTTCCTCAAATCGTCTGGGTGATCGCAGCACGTATTAGCGCCTGGGAGTGTAGTGTTTTTTGGAGGATTATTTCGGCATTGTTTTTGGGGAGTTGCGTCGATGCTGCGTACTTCCATATCTTAGTGAATCCACAAGAATTTAGGGTCTAAGTTTTCCCAAGATATGAGATCTTTTGGGGTGGTAGATTTTAGTCCCCTCACTCCTATGTAGACCTCCTGATTAATAAACTCCTCCCCCGAACAGGGATTACAATAGGCATCCTACTATTAAGGCCCTTAAAAGAAGGAGATGTATTGATCATGGGTCTACATTAGAAATGCCCAACAATGCGAGGGGGTTGGATGGATCGGTGGGCTCGAGGGTAGACGAGAAGGTTTCGAGCTGAAGGGCATGAGTGGCTTATGGTGTATGAGTCAGATGGATTTTGGTGGGAAATGAGAGGACTTCCAGACTACGGGTTCAAAAGGATTGGCGTGTAGGTAATTTGCACCCATAGGGTTAGCCCTTCTAGGGGTTGAACATTGACATTTTAAGAAACTCTTATGTGAGCTCTAGTCTAAACTCCAAGTCCCCCCCCCCCCAAGACATGCTCCAAGGAAATCCTACGCCTCAGCCGCTGAATGTGTAGCCTGAAGCCTTACCTACCATTCCACTCCAGTCTCTCAAACCTCCAAACCTTAACTCTGCATCAGAATCCCAAGTCCTGAGCCTCCGTGCCATAGAACTTGAGCTCTAAGCCCTTAATCCCAAGCCTGCCCGGGTTTAGGGTTTGAGGGGGGAGCGGTTTAGGGTATAGGGTTAACCCCAAACCCTAAACCCTAAACCCGGGGCAAATCTGGGTTTCTGCGCATCTGACTTGTTGATCCACACAGTTGTCCCCCTGGTCAGCGCAGGACAAGAAACCGTGCCCAAACGACACGCTGCTGTAGTCTAAACTTCTTAAGATGGATTATATAGGGGCTTAGAAAGGGGAGTATGAGAGAGGTTATTAAGGGGAAAACGAGGAGTTTAGACTAGAGCTCACATAGGAGCTTCTGAAACTGTCAGTATGCAACCCCTAGAAAGTCTAACCCTACGGGTCCAAGTGCCCAGTGATTAGGTACTTGGGGTTTGGGGCAGAGTAATTGTTGTACAGGTTTTGGGTAAGTATATGATTATTAAGTACTTGGACCTTTGGGGTAAGGGCATACCGGCATGTTGTACTCAAGTTATTCCCAGAGGAGCTGACGCCTGACGCTCAGTCGAGTTGAGCACACCTGCACATGGCCCCATCGCCTACACGCCCATCCCGAAGCCCAAAACCCACGAACACCTAAATCCATAAACCCTAAACCCTCAAACCCTAAAACCCGAAGCCCTAAACCCGCCCTAAACCCTAAACCCCCCAACCAGGTGGATGAAGCGCGCATGGCTGGCCCTCTCCACACTTCTGCTCATGGGCCTACCATTTCGGTACTTCCTGTACCTTGCCCGCTTCACTGGAGAAAACCCAAGTTACAGCCATGTGATACCCTAAATCCTAAACCCTAAGCCCTGCCATATGGCCTCCTACTTAGTAATAGTAGACGACAGACAACACTTGTGGTTCGTCACATGCCTACCTAGCTTGCAGTCGACATCATGAAAAATCAGCCACACTAACCATCTTTAGCTCAACCTGAGTTTATGGTCTAAACCTGAACCCTATAGATAGGGTTTTGTAGGATTTAGGGTATAGTTTCTGCCTAAGCCCCATGCCTACCCTTGTTTGAGAGCCTGCAAGTCATGATCCCGAAGCCCTCGCAGAAACGAAGCCCGAAACTTTGATCAGAGAGCCCAAAACCCCTTAAGTGGCTTAAGCCATGCTGCGTGGGCCCCACAACGAGGTAAAGTAAAACCCCTCAATTAATGTAAGCAATACGTGGGCCCCACAATTCGGTAAAGTAATAGCCCTGCACCTGCCAACATGGCCATTCTGCTTCATATTTTGGGGTTCAGGAAGTCCTTATAAGATTTGAATTATAATTCAAATCACCATGGAGCCATGCCGGTTGCCTGACTGCGGAATACTGAGGAGATGGCGTCATTGAGCCAACTTCCTTGTGCAACACTCTCCGGATCCTGACATATACACATGGAGGTTCAGAGCAACTGCAACCCAAATATATTTGTACTGATTATTGTACTGATTATCCAATTAAGAGCCCTCTAGATCCCCTACTATGGTTCTTGTCGGCCTACAAGTGCCATCAATTTGGGTGATGATTACCCTACACTTCCAAGTACTCCAAGTACACATGTGGCCATCTCTAGCATGGCCATATGAGCTACAGTCTAGACTCATTAAAGGGGGGTATATAGGAGATTTTATAGGGGACTGCTAGGACTACTAATGGGTCATTAAGGGAGATATTAGGAGTTTAGACTTTCGGTCATACCTACACCCTATAGTAGTTTCCATGTTCTTCTATTTACCCACTCATTAAGTCCCCCTGACCCTCCAAGCATCATAGCATCCCTCCCAGGTATCGCCGCGCGCAGAAAGTCGTGTGGCATGTGCGCAAGCATTTCTCCATCTTTCCGAAACCCACCTCAGCAGCTTGGTTCGCAACAATATACTACAGAAGTTTGCATTTCTTCTGCATTATCCCTATATAACCCCAATGTAGTATTATAGCATTATAGATGGTATTATAGATTGTTGAAAAAGGCTCGCAAACGCCACTAGCAGTAGGTGCTGGCTTCTTTCCTGGCAGTGTGCAGCGAAACTAGTCTGTTCTGTTTAGAGTCAAGGTCCACAAATACCACTTGCTATGGGCCTGAAAGTCTCAAAATGGTACATACTTTGTGCTATTTGGCGCACGAGGGCAAGGCTAGAGGTTTACATGCTCTTCACTTGCCGGAGCAACGATGGATACTAAAAATCCTGAATGGCCCTATGTTGTGAAGCTGCATGAAGCCTCTTGCGGTCTTTGGTAGGGAAGTTGTGGGCAACCAGAACATGCCCCGCCGTTAATTTGTTCGTGTGTCTCTGATTCTTTCCCACCGAAGTGTATTGAAACCGCAAACAAAGCAAGCGCAACGGCAGGTCCTTGTAGACCTTAGTCTGTATCAGCCTCATCCATAAATCTATGGCCTATAATACTACAACTCCGCCTTGGTTTGACTCCTTGTGGAATCTCTGTGAGTTAGCCCTGAACCTAGCAACCCTCCTGCAGCTCATCCACAAACTCCGACGCAGTGCCTTCCTACCTTGTTTGGGTTGAGGGTTTTACGGTTTTAGGGTTTAGGGTTCGGGGTTTTCAGTGTTTTTGGGGCTTAGGGTTTTAGGATTTAGGGTGCGGGGTTTAGGATTTCAGGGTTTATGTTTTGTACTTACGTCGTCGAATTTGTTGGAATCGAATACTCGTTTCCAGAAGATGGGCGTGGGGTTCCGGGTAAACAGAACTTCATCAGAACATGTACACGTAGATGATAGACCCTGCAAACCTCTGAATCCAGCTCATATCCAGAAAGGTAGCTCCCCTCCACTCCTTGACGCGCTCGCGCGACCCAGCCGTAGTGCGAGTTGCGCGGTTGGACCCAAACGTGCGGATCGAGTTTGCCAAAGAAGGCGGCGGTGGACTTGTAGGCTTTAGGGCTAGCATGGTTGGTGCGGATTTGTGAATGGGCTGCCTGGTTTCATATTCTTTGTTTAGGTTACGCTTAAGTTTGCCAAAGAAGGCGGCGGTGGACTTGTAGAATGGGCTGCCTGGTTTCATATTCGGTGTTTAGGTTACGCCTAAGATTGAAAGGCTTTAGGGCCTTTATCTCCGCCTGCAGTGGAGGCGGCTTCTGGCAGCTTCCGCAAGCTCCGCCCGAGGAAGTGCACATGGACATCGAGGCGATGGGCTTAGCAACCTACTAATTTAATACAAGAAATATTTCTCAGCGTGAACTTATATCATAGTATACTCCAAGAAAATAATTCCCAGGGGCGAGGACAGTTGGGGCATTGCCGGATTATTGGTATCGACTGTGCTGTCTCTCACTCAGCCTTGCGCATTGCTATGTGGTTTATGATTCAAAGGTTCAGCCTTGAGGATTTGGGGTTCAGGGCGCGGTTAAGGAGTAGGATCCTTTTGCTACGTTCTACCGATTCAAAATTTAGGTATGTAGGGACGTGAGGCTTATGGGCCAACAACAGGGGCCCATAGTTTCAATCTTGGCCGTTGGAGTTTCTTCAAATTGTCCCTAAACAGTCCCCAAGGAAAGGCCTCAGTGTCCTTCATATTGGGTTTCGGATTTAAAGAGCCGCCACGCGGAAATTCCTAATCAACAAGTGGAACTCCGAATAGTAGCTACATCGGATTTCTGGTTTTTTGGAAAACAGAACTCAGGGACCCAGTTAGTAAAAAGAAATTAGTCCACGCCAGGGTTCAAGCTTAAAGTTCCCGACTTTTTGAAGCGAAACCGTACCGGAGTATACTATGCATGTATAGAAATTATACAAGGGACCTTACACAAATTGCATTAGTGCTGCTTACCTTTTTTCTAGGGTGTACGAGCTTATCCTGAGTGTATAATTCATGGTATGACCATCAACTGCCGCTGTTGAATGTGCGCAGGTGAGCTCCCTTCGGGCAAAGTTGAAACTTCAAAGGGTGTGAAGCCGGAGGGGTAGGTTCCGGCCCGACAAATTCATGTCAGGGTTTCGGATTTAGGGTTTAGGATATGAAATTGTGGATTACATCTGCGATTTTGGATGGAGCACGCTACACAAGGTTTAGTTTTCAATCTAGGTATGTCTTGGGTAAACAACTAGGGCCGACTAGGTTTGTACTGGACTTGTGTGCTGCGGCGTCTCCGCAGTTTGAAGAGTTGGCCACATCAGTTCAACGCAGCTGATGACATTCTTGCCAACAACAGTTATAATACTGAAAAACAGATGGTAATAGTACTATTTCTAGTACTAATAACTGCATCCATAAGGGTATTAACAGTAGTAATATTCGTAACAACAGTAGTAATATTACTAGTAATAAGAAAGTAGCAAAATGATAAGTAGCTGCAGAAACAGGGGGGGTAAACCCGCTCCGGCAGCTTCTCGTGTTCGGTCTTAGATCATATAGAACCAAAGCAGCTTGCGCATCCGAGCCATGAAGAGGAAAAGGGTCCATAGCTTCAAATCGCCGGAGAAACTAGCCGAGAAGTTCCACCGCAGGACAGCAGAGTCTGGGTTGCTGTTAAGGGACTTGATTTAAGTTCCCCTATGAAACCCTATCAATTACTATATGAGCCATAGTCTAAACTCCTAGTATCCCCCTTAATAAGCCCTATAGTAGTCCACTATATAATCCCCTATATACCCCCCTTTAAGGAGTTTAGACTATAGTTCATCATATATATATATATAACCAGCACGGTAAGTTAAGTTATGTTCCACAAAAGGAACCCTAGACCCTAAGCCCCTGTGTCCATTTCATTGTCCAGTTTCTTGTCTATTTGATTCTTCAATATTGGGGGGGGGGGGTAATGTCCCTCTATAAACCTAAACTCTATATACCCTTTATACCCCACATACCCTCTGTCAATATATATATATATATATGTGTGTGTGTACACCCAGCATGGAAACTTAATTTAAGTTGTTTAACAGCAACCCTAAGCCGTAAATAGTAGTTTCCATTTTATTTTTCATTATCCCTATATAACCCCTATATTGAGTAACTTAATTTGAGTTCCTTAACAGCAACCCAGGAGAGCGGAGTGTTTCGCAGGTTCGCGGAGAAGGCGCAGAGCTGCAGCAAGAGGCAAGCGAGGAGGTATGCGTTTCATGTGGCTGGATGGATTGCTGACGCGCCATCTAGCTACATCCCAGGTGGGCAGTTCCCAAAATTAGGGTCCCATATTGGTGCCCCTAAATGTTAGGTGCCGTAATACACTCTATAACCAACAGGGGCTCATACTTTTGGAAAAATCCCAGGTCTTGTGGAGATGGATTTGTTGCACGCCTTCGTGTTGAAGCTGGGTGGCGGGCAGTTGCCAACCCGGCTCCAAAAAGTCCTACCTCAGGCATTGGATGCCTTGCAGCGGGCAGATGTTCCTAGCTCAGCCTCACAGGCACGGGAAAGACTGAGACAAAAGCTGCAGCAATTCCAATGCTGTAGAGGTGCCCGCACCGTGGCAGAGCCTAATGCAGAACCTCAGGCTGGAGCGTTTGACGAAGAGGCAGGAACGGAGCAGCACTGCAACGTGGAGGCCGAGGAAGAGGAGATGTCAGCCTGTGAAGGGGAAGACGCTGAAGCTGGTCATCAAGCCATCGATGTAGTTGAGGTGGAGTCTTCCCAAGAAGAGACAGAAGGTGGGTCAGAAGAGCTTGAGGTTTGCGAGAGGTTGTGCATTGAGAGGGACTGCGATGTGCTCGCTGGACCAGGTCAGCTTGCAGATATAGGGCAGCTCGCTTCAATGTCTGGGGATGCCGGGCAAGCTTGCAAGGAGTCGACATCGCATCTCTTCAGAAAGATAAACGAGTGGACCAACATGATGAGCCACGAGAAGCGGACCTGCCTCAAACAACTCAAACTTGAATGCATCCAGGGTGCTTATTTGAACATTGTTCTTTTTGATATTGTTGTTACTATTACTGTTTTTTTATTACAACTAGTTTAAACTTATTATTTATCACCCTGCATGTCTAACACAGTGTGCGCCCCAACGCCAACACGTTTTGAAGGGGTGAGGCGTTTCGAAAGAATCTTAAGGGCCATAGGACTTTGCGTACATTTCATGTCGGGCCTCTCATTCCCTTGAGAAGACAGAGAACTTTTGTAACCAAAAGGGGCCCGACGTGGCCCTACCTTTCGCAACTCCCTAAACCCCAAGCCCTAAACATCCATGAAGGTAAAGCTGGAGGCAGTGAAGCTGCGCTAGCTGAAGTTCTCTGCGCGGTGGCAGCCGCCCTGTCTCCGCCTAGAAGCTTGGGCAGCCTTACAAGTCTAAATATACAATACGTGTAGGCTTTGGGGTTGATATAGTACACCTCCTTAATTAGGGTTTAGGATTTAGGGTTTAGGATTTAGGGTTGAGGTTTTAGGGAATTAGGTTGAGCTGAGTATGTGATAGCCACATACTTTGGACCCTTAGGGCATAAATATTTTTTGGATTGGAATGCTGTATCATCCCCAAGCCACACTGGTTCCATGTTTTCCCTTTGGTGGTAGTATGTTATATGGCACAATGTGACCTTCTTTGGTGCAACCGGCAAAGGAAACACAACACCTATGAGGTAGTGTTTGGTTCTTTGATTGTGTACGTATATTGAGCACTTGCTTGAAAATTGGTGAGGGTAGTGACGACTCCTTGTTGACGTGGGGAAACCATGACATGATTCTACAAGGTCTCTCAGGTCGAATCCGGCGTTGTCAATCACATGAGATGCACGTTTCTTCATGTTCCGTAAGAAAGTTGTACAGTGTAATGCCCAATCCTTTCTGAAGTTCTCCTGCCGTTTCTAAATTTTGGCAGCTTTCTGTGATCATAGGGCCATTTCTCACAACACGTTCCCTTTTACATACCCCAATCTAACAAGATTTGGCTACCTCAATCTAACAGGTTTCTGGCTATGCGGGGCTTCCTGAAAAGGGCTCATGTTGCAGGGTTTCAGGGTTTTAGAGGTTCATCAATACTTGTGGCCCCCCAAGGCTTCGACATGAGGGACGCCCGGGAATCAAAGCCAGGCAAATGAAAGGTTGGTTACCCTAAGGGCCCAAGTAACTAATAATCATATATTGCCCAGAACCTGTACTATAATTACTATTACCCAAAACCAAAGTCCTTGATTATTGGGTACTTAGGCTTTGGGGGTTACCTCTCAGAGATGCCACAGCTGCCCAGGAACATCCGCCGAGTGTAGTGATGGAGCTGGGGGCGGTCAAGGCGCCATTCTTGAGTGCGTAGATGATGCGGCACAAAAGCTCCAGCGTCAGGTGAGGTCCCTATTGTCTCCTGTTTGAAGAGCACATACCCTTTTGAAATTTCTGCTCGTCCTGCATGTCCGGTGTTCCGCTGGCACCAGGTGTCGTGTGGACTTATAAGGTCCTAACAGCGTTTAGACTGCTTAGCTGGACTCCGCTCAGGTTACAGCTGCTGCTTGACTGGAAGGCCAAGGGCTTCGACTGCGGCACGATTCGTATGGTGCTGGCGTATGTGCAACGGCAACTCTCCGCATTCGAAGGAAGGATAGGGGACCTCAGTTTAGCAGCTGCAGGACTGCAGTGGCTTGCCATCCAGAAGGCAGTCCAGGATTTATTGCAGCCGTGTTCCAGTCAACAGAGTGCAAGTGACACCAAGCAGAAGAAGAGAAGGCACATGTTGCCTCACAATACTGCCAAGCCAGCAGCACTCAGGGCTCTGAGTTTCTTGGGCGGGAGTGGCACGCATAAGCAGGTGCGAGCATATCTGCGCAGACATCCAGAGATGCTGCAAGGCGCAGATGCTGCAAACCTTGAGCGCATCCTGAAGAGTATACGTTTCTAAGTCTGTTCAGCTTTATTTTTCATGTTAAACGGCCTTCCAGCAGAATAAGGCTAATGATAGTAAAGCTGACTCGTTTGGCCGATTTGGCCAGTCACCCGCCTAGAAGCCTGAAACAATCTCCATGTTCTGCATGACAATCCGAGGTTTGGTCAAGTGGTGCGAGCAGCGCGGTAAGAATGAGGAAGGCGAGAAGATTTTCTGCTTGGCGGCCCCGTGTCCTCGCGGCGTCATTCGTGCCGAGAATGGCTTCACAGCAACATTGCAGAGTCGAAGCGCGCAATCTTCGTTTCGAGGCCCACGCAGACTATGCCCACAGGCTGCGAAGAGAGACTACGAGAAGCTGGTGCAACTGCACAAGACCATGACGTCGAAGGCCATGGTAAGCTACGTCAATGCATGGCCGGGCGCGCATGTGGGCAAGATAAGCAAAGGATCTGAAAGAAAAATGAACATGGCTTCATTTACTCCGCCCGCATTGCCACCCGCATCAACATGACGCCCGTAGCTACCTTGTTTCTTTCTAGATTCTTTGGCAAAGTTGTTGGACAAGATGTGGTAGTTTCCCAAAATGAGGGGACCCCAATATACACCTACTAGACTATAATCCTTCTTTTGGGGACCCCTATAAAGGTACCCTCTCAATTTGCGGAAACCCCCATGTCTTGATGCGCTAGGCTTGGCCACTCGCATCAACCCAGCCCAAATTCAACTTCCCGGAAAGGTACTGGTGTTTAGAATTTCGGCCTCAGAAATAGAGTCACTTGTATTGGGGTCTGAACAGTAGGAGCTAAGCTGCTTTGGGTTATGACAGGGCGCGGTTTTGTTATGACTTGGTCACATGATTGTGAGAAACCTCCACTCATGAAGCCAAATATCCCGTCATTAAGGAATACTCCGTAGGTCCTATGCCAGGCCTTAGTATCATTTAGGGATGTTTTGAGGGTTCCAGTCGGCAGCACCAAACATGACAGGATTCTTTGTACAACGTTCCCAGTTTCACATCAGACCCATCATTTGTAATTTGTGTAGGTTCTTTCAAGTGAATTTGTGGGTACACCGTTTCTAAAAATAGTGCCAATTGGGATACGGATGCTGAGAAGTCGCCAAAAAGGCCTAGGTTGGTAAGTTGCCACAACATGGGGGATTCTAACAAAAAGGAGTGCCAGTAGGGATATGGGGTTTCATAGCTGCCTCTGTAAAGCCTTGGCCTAGGATCCATACTTAGAAGAAGCTTCCCGTCTTCCAACCCTTTTCTTATCCCCATGATTCCCAAGTAGCCTTCCACAACCTGTCTCTGAACCCTAAACTCCAAACCCCTAAACCCCTAAACCCTAAACCCCTAAACCCTAAACCCCAAACCCCTAAACCCTAACCGATAAACCCTTAACCCTCAGAACCCCACAAAGCTCTCAATCGTCTGCTCTACAAGCCCCAAGCGTCAAACCCCAAAACCTGAAGCCCAAACCTCCGCAAGACCCAGACCCCCAGCCCCAAAACCTAGGGTCTAGGGTCTAGGGTTCAGGGTTTAGGGTGTAGGGTCTATGGTTTAGGGTTTAGGCCCCCAGCCCCAAAACCTAAGCCCATGCAAGCCCTGAACCCCAAACGTCAACGAACCCAACATGCAAAACCTCACGCCCTACACTTCAAGGCCCGACCCAAACAAAACCCCAAGTCTCAAAGGGTAAACCTCCCCAAGCACCAAATCTAAAACACCCTACACTGAACTAAGCCTTCCCAAGCCCCGCGCTCCAAAACTTAAGTACCTAGACCCCCAAAAAATGTAGAATGATTGCTATATCTTCTCCTTTTATGGGTCCAGGTGCTTCCAAAATTCTCAGTAGCACTATCACCATTATCATCTTTATTTTCACTGTTTGAAGATGATCAAGTACCCGAAGCCCTATGAGCTTTAAATCCTAAGCCCTAACTCATAAGCCTTGAGCTGTGTACTTCAGAATTGTTGGCAAAGGCCATGGCCGGAGGGGTTCCCGCAGAAGCCCCGGGCTACTGGACAGAAGGGCCTTGATCCAACGTATGGGTGCAAGAGACGGCTGAGGGTTTAAAAATTATCAAGACTCTATACCCTGAACCCAAGCCCAATGCTGTATGAAGCCTTGACATTCGGAAAAAGGGGCCGAATCATTTCAGGGGACTCAATTATAATTCAGATATGTTGGAAAAAGAGTCTTGATTGTCCAAGTACCTATTTAAAGCGTGCGAAGTAAAGCCTGCAGCCCATTGAATTTGGGACCTAAAATCTCAGTAGTGGTGGACTTGGACTCTCAGAGGAACTAATGTGGAATTCGGGATAGTTGCCGGCACTAGTCTCTGACAATCCTCGTATGGTTATGTATCATATACCCCTCAATCATATTCAGATTACTTAACCCCCTGCATTCATACTTTCATCTTACAATGCGATTCCCCTTTTTTCCGTGTTCTCATTCATTTCTCGTCCATTTGAGTTTCCATTATTCTCATGAATTTCCTCCCCTAGTTGAAGCCCTCCATCCACGTGCCATTGAATATTACCAATAAATTGCAATAATTATACCCACTTTGGGAGTATTCGAGGGGGACCTTTTGATATGAGATGGGGGATGATTCAGGCTTCCCCTAAACCCTAAACCCATCGTAATAATTTTCACGCCCATGCCCAATAATGTTCAAGCCACGAACTTGGCCTGCAGGACGCACCACGGCTCGACCGCAGACTTCCGCTGCGTCCAGCTCTTGGAGGATTCTGCAGACGCAATGCAGGCACGCGGTTAAGGGTTTAAGTAAAAGTCCAGGGCAAGTATAACCCAATTATGACTTGCAGTTCTAATCCTATTGCAACCATATAAGGGAGATGACGGAGCTTACACAAGTGGGTTGTAAGTAGAGGTATAACGGGGTTGTAAGTGCCCTGAACCTCCAAGTACTAGGGTGTTTTTTCCAGCATAGGCTGCTAGAAATCAGCCTGCCCTATCCAGATCCTAAAAAGGGTAGATCATGGGCCTACGAGGTCTTACAGCCCATCCGGACTGATTTGTTGATCTTGAGGGGAACTTGCCACAATTAGGGGTAACTATTTGGTCGTCCTCCGAATAAGGGCAAAAGTGCAGTGTATGAGGGGCATGCTTGTTTTTGGAGATGCCCAAATTTTGTGATTTCATCAACAATATCTTAATATGCTCCTGAACAGCAGTAGTCTGAAGCATTCTGCCACTGTGGATATTAGAAATCCTGCGTGACCCTTAGTACCTTATACCTTATACCTTGGGGGTTATGGTACCGTAATAAAATAAGGTCGTGCAGGATTTAGTACCGACAGTAGTACTCATGGCCTATGGGATTCGTCAGCACTGCTAATTCTGTTGCGACTCTGTGGAAGCCCCCAAGTTTCAACCTCCGCTTACACTTCTCCAGAAGGACGATACTAGTAACATATAGTAACGATACTAGTAAATGATACTGATAGCCATATGACTGGGTGTAGGGCTTAGGGTGTAGGTAATAATCATCACAGTGACAACAGGCTTCCCGGCACACAAGCTGGCACGCCTACATTGGGATCTTTTTCCATATGGTTCATTCTGAACGTGGGGGCAGGGGGGGCTGTGATGGAAAAGGAAAGGCCTTAAACGCATGATGTTTACAACCTACTCCCGAAAACGTAAAACCTAATCCCCTTAATCCCTGAACCCTGAACTTGTTCACTGAATCCAAGACTAAAAACCGCAATCCGAAAGCCCCCAGGCATGAGGGCATTAGTGGCAGGTCGCAGCTTACCTTATCTGTTCTGTGCATTAGGCCTAGATGATGCATGTGGCTACGCACGGCTCTGTAAGGGCCTCCCAGGATTCCAAGCACAGAATTGAACAATGGAGTCCCTCTAATGAGGTTTACCTATAATACAGATTATCATGTTGGGTCCATATTTGGGCCTCTATCTACGGAAGCCCACATTTCAGGTTTAGGATTTGAGGGCTCGCAGTCACTGATAGGAATCAACTACAGCTTGTGCGATCAAAGCCTGAAACCTAAAGCCTAAACCCTGCGACTTGCCCAAGGCTCAGGGGTTCTTAAAATGAGGGGACCTCAAGAAACCCCTCGCATACATTGGGACTGCTTAAACAATGTGGCTAGGTAGGGAATCTCAGAGGTTACAAGAGGTATAAACCTAGTATACTGTCAATTGACTTGTTGTTCCAGACTCCAGACCCATACCATCCCATACCTTAAAGCGCCCGTCATTGTGCACTTCCCACAAAATATGTCTAATTAATATTGACCCATATTATTCCCCGTCGATATCCAGGCCCAGGGCAAGAAACTCTCAACCCTTATGGTGAACAATTATGTGAGTATGATATACCCCATAAAGCCCAATTATGATCCATAGTAAATAAAGCCACAAGTGCTTAGAAGCTCAGGGGATTTTAAATAAAATGAGACTATAAGCAGTCTAACTCCAATCAGGGGACTGATGAACCCATTTTCAACCTATTCACGAAGTCCCCTGAGCTTTCGATTTTTATAATTACTGTACACTGGACCGTTAGGGCCAAGTCTTATCAGGGCCACATCCAGCAGCTTTTGGACGACTGCTTCGTTGCCGCGGCCACCCGGGATCGAGCCGGAAAGCTTCCGAAACGAGTCTCGGCGTTATTCGTTTATACATATATGTATATATATATATATACATACACATATCTGTATACAATATATATATATACATATA